TTCTTTGGCAAAAACGCTTGGCGCATTATAGGCAGAAAATTTGCCCCCTCGCGACAATTTTTTTTGGGACGATAGGACTGATGTAGTCACAGTGTTACAGTGTTTTTTCTACCACAGTCTTATTTAGCTACATTACTTTAAATATACTGATATTGGCGTTGATGTAAAGCGAAATGTTTGAAATACGCCGGCAAATATGTGTCCAAGATTGGCTTCAACAAAGGGCCGCTGGAATTATCGCTCCTGTTCACATAATATAGAGTTCTCTTTAATTGACGTGACTGTTGCAGTTAAGAAGGTTTGTTGTAAAGCATGCCGAGGGTGTTGTACCTGCGGAATTTGTAAACCACTGAGCGGATACGCGAGAACGGCTTTGCAAAATAAATTTGAAAGGATATGAAAACGACGACATGACGCGTGGCGTTTAAAATCCCGTGCATGGACCCACGTTCCCTCGTATAGAGGGGTATTTATTTAATTGATTCCCAATCGACTTTTTAACATTAAATATTTGTTGACATAAATATTTTAAGGTAAAATATTCTTCCGTTTTCAAATTCTTTGGCATCGTGTAGACGAGTCCTTATAGTTATGCAAATAATTATTTCGCTGCCTCTTCCGAGATTAAATTTAGAAAATATTCATAAACTTTTGTAAGCTTTTTCCAAAGTCCATGATATTACGCTACTAAGAAGAGGAAGTGCTTCACGCGGATCGGGAAGGCTTATGCAGCATGCTAGCAATCATTATTCTATACATCGCTTCAGTGGCGTCCCAGCATCGATAAGTGGGGTGGAAATATTCATATATTCATGTTCACATACCGTACAAACAATCAATTTGAAAAGAAATGAATAATGTAAAACACGAATATATGAATAAGTCCTGCCACTTACAAAACAGGCGACGCCACTGCATCGCTTCCTCCTCGTTGCGTGAAGCCAACTTTAAAGCCATGCTGAGTTACGTCTTCATAACTATCGTTATATTTGCTGCCAAACGTTTGCCTTGGCAGTGCAAAGGTAAAAAGATTCATATTTATTAATGTTATGAAAAATTCCACATTCAATAGACTTGTATGAAGTTATAAGTCGTAATATTTCATCATGTTCATATTGGTATAAGTAGGCTACTTCCGTTAGGGTATGGGCGGCCAACATTATATACCATACATATACTATACAAAATGAGTACAAAAATGATTATAATATTGGGAGGTATAGAACTTCGGTTAACTGCGTCGAGTTGAACGCGAAATTAATGTGGATAGTCATAAGCTCGGCATTTCGTTCATATACGCCTGGGTACGAATCGTTTACAACAAATCGCATCATGTAAATGCATGCGCCTTTACAGACCTTAAACTCAGTTAGTTAGTAAGTAGCTAGTATTGCATTAGGACACACGGTCAAGAAAACAAGGACAAGGAAAAATATTTAAAACAATGAAATATCAAGTCCTCTGAGAATCAAATGATTCTAGCGTCCAAGTCAAATTTTACCATTAGCTTTCGGAAATTTGTTAATTTTCTATACGGACAGCTATCAAGTCAGACTTCAGGTTTGCGCTCAAAAGATTTAGCTTCAGACTCGGCGATACGCCAGGATTTACGGCGACCGTTAGACATGCAGATAGTGTCGTATAAACATGTACCGGCACAGTCATGCAAACGTAACACTTTAAATTCCGCCCTTAACAGAATTAAGTGAATATAGTGGCATTTGTCCTCCTTTGCATTCGTCAGAATGATAATTGCATCTAAATAGGCCTTAAGTGAGGTCTTCGCGATAGCGAGCACGGAGCCTTTTTAAGAAACTTTAGTAGGGGAAGGGCACATCAGTAAACAAAAAGGAAGTTGATATTTAGAAATGCAGAAGTTGTGAAGAGGGATCATTGTCAAAGCACAAGTCTTAAACAACTGGAGGTTCGCCTTCTCCCCTCAGTTATATTGTTAAAGTTGGCCAAGACTAATGCCCCGTCAATGATCTGCGCTTTTCGTTTTGTTAAAAAGACCGCATGTTATATATATAATGTTATTTATATTCCATGTGCTTTTTCAGAATATCCGGTCGAACATTTCATATCCTTTTTTAGTTTAAAAATTTATGGCGTATACGAAGCATGTCTGACAGGTATCCGGTCTGCAAATAAACAGGTATCCGGTCTGCAAAAAAATAGTTATTAGCTGCGTCAGAATGACGCCAGTTCATATAGTTTTGCCGTAGATATTATTATTTTCCTTTCTTATTGAGTCTAAATGCATTGCGCGCTTACTAGCCTGCGGGTTGCAATCCAAAGAAGGGCTGATCCGCAGGCTAATCTGACAAACGAATCGCTCTTTTGTATTTCCTGATTTCCTGAAGACTTCCTGTCTCGTGAAAATAACAGAGATCAAAATGCCACCGCTATAAACACGAGGCAGCTTTAATGCCTAGCGGGCGTCTTGTTATGTAAACGCCCGTTGGCACGCACGATTAAGACGGCCAGACAAGGCACAAACGATTCATCAATTACAATATCGACTTGTCTGATGTATAAGTTTCGGCCTTATTTAGAAATCGGAAGTAATCCGCTTCACTTCTAGAGCGCTAAATACAACATAATTTATGTTATCAATACCTGTTATCAATACTGTTACGCAAGGCTTTATTGTGTTTATAGAGATAGCTATGCATATAAAAATAGCTGTAAAAAATAGGAATATCAATTGCATGACAGGGATTAGTGAATGATTTTTGCCACAAGACGCCTGAGTAAATATAATTTTCGGCCCATTAGCAAACATTAATCGCCTTTCCCTTTCATGTATGACATATCGTTTGATTAAATAAGTAAAAAAGTGAAAATATTTATAATCCTCTCAGAACTAGTACCTGGATAAAGAGTCTTAATAAGTCATCACTTATCTTAATTGTCGCATTTTTTTAAAAAAATGTGCATGCTGTAGGCAATGCAAGCTGTTATGTCAATCAATTATGTTAAAAATGTTTCGCGGTCGAGCATGTAATAGATTACGTCATCAGAAGTTCAATTCGGTAAAATAAGAGTTAAAATAGTTTAAGTTGAAAGATATTGTTCACAGAGGTATTGTTTGTTAATTTTACTTGTTGTTGATGATAAATATTTTAAGTTGTGAACATTTTAAGTATTGATCGATTGAACAGAAGACCAACTCGACTAGTGCAACAACGCCTTAAACAAACAAAATAGGAGAGCTGGAACGAGCTTCTAAAACCAACCCACATTTCTAACTTACAACGCTGATTGGTTGGATAAGGATCAGCCCACTTTGGTTGATGACGTGAGCAAGATTCCCTCAACCGTTACTATAAAAGGGCGCGCACAACACCCCAATATGAAGCGTTAGAGAAGCTCAACTTTTACAGAACCGACGACCAAAGACAACAACAGCAACGACGAATATTTAAAGAGAAGAGAAGAACGAATCAAGAAGAGCACATTAATGAACTTTAGTTAACCTATTGTGAAAGACCACCTACCTCTCGTAGAAAATAAGAAAAACTTTTTGACAATACATTGCACGTTATGATGCAACGAATCGTCGGCCCGGATTCGGTTTGCAGACATGCAATTCTTCAATTCGTGTTTTTGTAGGTGAAGTTTCCAAAAATATCTGCTCACTATATTGATTCACTGCCCATTTTTAAATGAAAATTTAGCGTTTGTTGAATCATCCGAAGAATTATGCATGTTTTCATCTTCCCCATACATTCACGTTTAATTGATTGCTATTGTTATGTAGTTGGTTTTTTTATGCGCGAGGTAGGAGATCTTTTACAAGGTTTTACTAAAGTTCAGTAATGTTCTCTTCTTTCTACGTTCTTCTCTTATCTTCGCTTCTTCGTCCTTTCGGACCTCGTTGTTTTCTGTTCTCGTCTTGGCTGTCTGTTCTGTCAGGTTGAGCTTCTCCAACGTTTCATATGCTTTTCACTCCACTAGTCCATTGCTTTTAGTCCACTCTCGTGTTTAGTCCACTCTCGTGTTTAGTCCACTCAATGTTCTGTTGCTGTGCGCCTCCTTTTATAATAAAATTTGAGGGGATCTTGAAGACGCCCTGTGCAAGGTGGTGTGATTCACACAATCCAATCAGCGTTGTAGGTTGTAAGTGTGGGTTGGCGTTAGAAGCTCGGTCCAGCTTTCATACTTTGTTTACTTAAGGCCGGTGACGCACTAGTCAAGTTGGTCTTCTACTTAATCAATTACTGTTAAAACTTGTTCACAACTTAAAATATTTATCATTAACTTAAAGTACAATTATCAACTTATTACTCTGTGAACCGTATCTCAACTTATAAACTATTTTACAAATAATTTCATCGAATTAAGCTTTTAGTGACGTAAGGCTTCAAGTGCTTAACCGAGCAAAATATAACAAAGAAATGATTGACATAAACTAGTATCCGCCTAGAACTTATGTTCTTGAGTCGTGACACTTGTACTTTGTACGACATACTATTGTTTCGGAGGAAATCCCATGGGCTGTCACCTTATGACAGGAAAAGTAATTTTGTGATTCCGAAGGCTCATAATAATATTTACTTTACACTTCATTTTATGTGACATGTTCTCCAAGTAATTTCCTCATCTATATTGACCTTCTATTTCTTAATAATACTAAATTACATTATATATGCCCATTTCGTAACACAAGTCTCGACAAAAGCCTGTTTTGAATTTTGTCGTAATTGTCGTGAACAAGTCATTTCCACCGATAAGAAATAGTCCGGACTTAAATCTAAGTTTTTTCCTGTATTTAAATCCGTCGTTGTTGCCTGCACACTCACAGAAACATTCTATCACATCAGCCACCCTGACATTTTTTCATTTGTAAATCCCACACATCGCAAAAACCCACTCGCAAGATCACTGCTAGTGCTTGCATATAATTTTACCTAAAGGCATTTTCATTGGATAAAAACCTAGCAAGGGAGCTGGCGAAACAAAATAATTACAAATATAACTGGCTTTCCTTTCTACAGCTACAAATGTGTCGATCAGATTACGAGGGCCTTCAAGTGAAAGTGGTCTAGGTCGTGTTGAGGTATTTTACAATGAAACTTGGGGAACAATCTGTCAACATGGATGGGATTTTAGAGACGCTAGGGTTGTATGTCGTCAACTTGGTTATTCAGATGCAATCAGATCACTTCAATGGTGGGAGTTTCCCTCAGGTTCTGGACAAATATGGTTAGATGACCTCAGATGTGAGGGAGAAGAAAAGAATATATTAAGATGTTCTCATCGCGGATGGGGAATTCATGACTGCGATCATTCGGAAGATGCTGGAGTTGAATGTAGTAAAACAGGTGAAGTTACCTAAATTGTCTGTTACCGATTCTTAGATCAAGAGTGAACCATGCCTAATGTTTTGTTCCATGAAATCGTAAGTGTCGTAAACATGTCATGGTGGCTGATGTGATGAAATATTTCTATTTATGTGCAATTATGCGTTTCTACTTTCAATAGATAAATAAAGACAAATTTACGACAAATTTACGCAACGACTATTTCTCATCGGTGAAGATGACTCGTTCACGACAATTACGATAAAATAGAAACCTCGCTTAATAAGATTAGGACCGCATCATATTAAACAATAAAATTCCTTTCGGCTCCAAATTTGTTTCCAAAAGAGACTAACTTAGCTTTAATGCCAAATTTCGACACCCTAATCAATCCAGGAATTTCTAAGCAATTTAAAACAAAAATTAAAAATGCTTTTAGTATCGCATTTGCAAACCTCTTTCTTCAACAAATATTTATTTTCTTTTCCTGCATGGTGGAGAGTTTTTGTCTATTTTAGGCAGTTGTTATATACAACATTTGAAGTGAAGAATACACATTATCCATAAACTTTCAATTAAATATTGCAGCATCTGTGATAACATCTATTTCTGACGTAAAATAGGACCAAAGGTCAGTTTTTCGTTTTTTTTGCCCGAGATTTACCTTTTTATTATTGTGAAATTTTTGCCGTGAGCGATAACTCATCATGCAGATTATGAATTCGAATGTTTATGTAAAAAATCAACACAAATCGTATGAAGCCTCGATTTTGAAGCTAAGTGTATCAAAATGATCCTAGAAATGTGAACTAAGGGACTGTTTACATGAGCCCGGTTACCCGAGATTCAGCGAAGCGTGAGATGATTTTGAGGTATTGAAATGAGCAGATAACATGATCCTGGCAGTCGTATAATCACCACAACAATAGCATGTGCTTGTTTGGTGTCATAAAGATTTATTTCAATACCTCAAAGTCCTCTCACTCTTCGTTGATTCTCGGGTAACCGGGTTCATGTAAACAGCCTCTAAATCACTGTAACCAGTTTCCGTTTTGGGCAACATTCTAAGGATTAGACCGCTTCTCAGGTATAATATCGAGTAATAAATAAATCACATGCATTTTTAAGTAAATATCATAGTGAATTTGCAACATATAGAACTAAAAAAATCATCTATCGATTGAGGAGAAGGTAGTAGATTACCCCCCCCCCCATATAGCAACAAAATCACGCAACGCGTGATCCCCACGCGGGACGTCGAAATCTGTCGGATTTTCCCGAAGATATGCGTGGTCTCCACGCAGGGTGAGAGTATGACGTTTAAACCGTAATTAAGTACACAGTAAGGATTTGCGAGAAAAATATTTTATTTTTCAGGTTATACACATTTAGTATGTCAACACTTTAATATGGTATGTTCCTTCCCATAGCATTAGGACTGTTTATTTTAAAAGTTCGTTTGTTGTGCGATGCTTCTCCACCGTTAGTTTATACTTTAATTTTTATTTCCTCGTACCATGTTTCAATATGTCCATAACGAATACACGATTGCCAAATTATTTTCATTGGTTTATAAGGGAACAGGTTTTTTATTTTTGTTTGTTATTACATTTGTCTCTCCAGCCATAACCCGTACGCTTCTACTTCAACTTTAGGACAATGTTGATATGCGTCGGCTGCCAAATGCTTCCCGCAGGTCCCCGGCCATAGTAGATTTTTTATCAGTAGTTGCGCTTTCGGGCATCCAAAACACTCCAAATTGATGGAGGGAATGTTCAGGTTTGCAAGGAGATCCTTCTCGTAGTGCCCGCCTTAATACGCAATTGTAGAGTGTTCGTTTTTTCTTAAACGGCGGTAAAGGAGTGCAACAATTTTCTCCAACTCCGATATTGGCAAAGCATCAACTCCGGCAGGTACGTCAAAGGGGAGCTTGTGGATGTGTTTTTGCACGTAACTACATGTCCGTTTCTCCTTTAGCGTTAAATTACTCCATCGCAGACCAATGTCAAAAAAGAAGGAGTTTGCAAAGACGTCACCAACTTTTAAAACACCCAGCTCCTTACATAAAAAGTTTTCACCGATAAGGTATCCGTCCTATCAATGATTGCGACAATATCTTTGAGAGACATTTTGATTTTGATTTACCAAAATGTAAGTTCGTTGATCTTTTATATATGACTGTAACCTAATTCAATTTCCATCATGCATATATAGATAAATTACAAAACGTCACAGGTGTAGCGCTACAGTGTGCGCTACGGAAAACGTCACAATTGTAGCGCTACAGGGGTGCGCTACGGAAAACGTCGCAGATGTAGCCCTACATGGGGTAATAAGTGTACCGGCGTTTGTTTGCAATTCTCTCTCTGCAACTTGATTATCCCTTTCAACCGATTTTCTCTAAGCGACAAGGTTTTAAACGGGGATTTCATATAGCTTATGGTAGAGGACAATGGCAAGGGTCATTAATTAAGGTTGGCAAAATTAAATATATGACTGAACACATTGTCAGTTGATGACTTTGTTCAAACGCGTTTATACATGCATTACCTGTAATGGGTTTTAATGACAGGACGAACCTGAACATGTTCGCCTCCAAACAAAGAGTAGCTTGCACATAAATATCGCACATCGAACAGAATTTGCCCGAGAAAACACAGCAATGGAGTGCTTACATGGAGTGCCTGCGACCGCAATCTCTACCAAGAAAGGAAAGTTTTGGGTTTGTAACAACAACAACCCTAAATGTTTTGAATTATTTTGCCCTGAACAAGATCGTTCGCTCTTTGATACGGCTATGATGATGTGGAGGGCGAATTGCGCGATTCATCCGCTGTGTGACACTCACCAAAGATCGACCAAGATGAAAGTTGTAAAGGATCTAACTAAACGTAACTTTTAGAGACCGCGTTCTTTGTTTGCTGCGATCGTAAAAATCCGTGTAACTTTTGGCAATGGCGTGACAGCGAAAGCTCCCGAAACCGAAGTATCAGCACGGGTTAAACTGCTGTGTGCGAAAAGTTAAAAAGGAGAGAGAAAATCAAGGCCGTCTGTTCTTCTGCTGCCCAAACGACAGAGAAAAGTCTTGTGGCTTTTTCGAATGGAAAATCGTACCAGAGAATCCTTTTAACCAAGATCACTTTCCTCACATTCAGAGAGTTGGCCTATTGCAGAGTAATCCAGCCCTGTACACGTTTTCTTGCGTTCTTGCTGCATCGGCGTAAGATGTGGTTTGGGTGAGGGTTGGGGGACATGATCAGAAAGTCCTTTAGTTTTATATTCCCGAACAAGTCCTAAGCGATTTTCGTTTCTGATAATGCCTTCGGGTACGTTTAAATGTCCCAACAATGTTCGAAAATAGCTCCCAGCCTTGTGGATTAAAGTTTTTCCTCTGACGCAATGAATCGTTGACCAAATCGACGATATTTGTTCCGGGTACTAGTCTTCCTTTTAACATCATTTGACCTTGTTCATTCCATCCTACGACATCTTTGTTTGCTTTAAGTTTCTTCACCAACTGACGTGCTCTAGATTTCATTGTAGCTGGAATACTATCCAGTATGTCTGATTCAATCTCGTCATCATCCTTTATCTCTGGGATTTTTCTTCTTCATCTTCAGTCACAGATGAAGAAGAAAGTCGTAAAGATTGTCGTAAAAATTTAAGTATCGTTGTAGGGACTGATCGTACAATTTCGCACTCTCATCAACGGGAATGTCTTGGCGTTGAAGTAGCTCTTCCATCTCGGAGTCAATTTCACCTACTTGTGCAGTCAAAGGTGGTACGAAAGGTTTCTTTCGTTGTTCAACCATATGTTCGGGTACAAGGACCAATCTTCTGACGTGTTCCATTTATAGAAAGTTAGCCAATTGTCCCAAAACTGAAGTGAGTAGAAGCGGTAGGAAGGCCTCCCCTTTCTGGACAAGACGTGCTCTTCTTTTTGCAATAGGATTTCGTTTGTCAGCTGCAAATTTTATATGTTTGGAGTGTGGTGTAATCTTTTTCGCTGTTTTTGGTTTCAGTTTAATTGTATCAAATCAGACGTTCAAAAGACACTGTCTTATAGCTTCCAGTAGATCGTCTTCGGTTGCTTTTAAAATAGCTTTTCTCAGTTCGGGTTTACACTTGGCTAATACTTTCAGAAGTTCGGAGTTCCTTTTCATGCAAGCAGACATGGTCAAATGAGCCAAATCCACAAGCACATCGCACGTTTATACTTTTGGTTGATAGACATAATGAGTATCTGGCGGAAAGATACCGGATCGTAATCGAATTTCATCATTTTTGGTCAGACACAAATAACTTGCATTTAAGGAAATGGTTCGGTGTTCTTTTCCATGTTGAAACAAATTTTTCACGATATAAATTACGTTGCCCAAATGTCATGGACGTTTAATGGTCATGGTAGTTGCGCGCATGCGCGAAATTTAAACGAAGAAAGAACGGTCGTCTACAACTTGCTGATTGGCTAAGATAAAAAGAGAGGATGCATGAGAGCGTCAGCATTTTATATTTTTTAACCGTCATTTTGCAAACTATTTTTTAAAAATATAAAATGAAATCATGGAGTCAAATATTAAAACAATAATAAAAGGATTTAAAGATCATCACAGCACAGAAACAGTTGGTGAAATAGGAACAAATCGTAGTTTATAATCTTTGAAGTGGTAGGTGTCTATATTTTACTTATTCAGTGTTTGCGGTAAGAATTCATTGTTATTTTGACTTGGTATGTCGTTTTACAAGGAGCTAACAGGATCGTTTAAGGCCTTACATCATCGCTTAAACTTTAAAAAGAGTTCTCAAAAGTGTACTGCAGAGTTTTGATAAAATAAATATCACTTTGTAGCTTATATATTTGCTAAAATCATTGAAAAAAATAAATAATCGAAAAACAACATTCGACGTTTAGTGCTTGTATGGTTATTATAATTATTTATGCTGTTTTGATGTTTTGAAGGTTTAGCTATAGAAAAGTTTAACACTCACTTAAACTGCAACGTATAATGCAGCAGGCAAAC